TGGCTTCTATGTTCTCAACAGGGTATACAATTTATTAGCCTCTGTCCTAAATAGGGTATGGTGTCATGTCGCGCCCTGAGATATTAATCGGCCGTTACAAGGTCATCACTCAGCATCAGGTTATTTTCTGGACAAGAATGCTTTTACTGTCCATATCCTTTAATTTAAATTATTATTTCACTTATCAGTATAATAACAAGTGTGCATTGATAGAATAGAGCAAACTAGTAGGTCTAGTTTCTCTGTGTTGGAAAATGTCATGATAGAAAGATGTCGTTATGTCGCATAGGCATGAGTGCATCTTGCTGTACAGGATATTGTTCAAGGCTACTATTCTTGGCTTTTATTAGGGGTAGAAGAGCCAGAACATGTCATCAGAATGGAATATGCTGCACACAAAAAAACTGAAATGTGTAAACATTAGCTAACTCCAATGTATTTTAGCTTGTGGTACTCTAGAAGTGTGGAAATTTGGTCAAGATTTCAAACCCTCAGCTGTGCCTGTATACCCAAACATGGGTCAGGTAATCTCCTCCCTTGGAGTTGCATGCAGTACCCCCCCACCCCACCCTGCCAGGGTTACATGTAATACCTCCATGCTTGTACAGGTTGATCCTTGAAGAACAGGTCCTAAGATGAATCCAGGACAAATGACACAAAGATCAAACTTCTCATCATCTGAAAATAATCATGTAAGATTTTCAGATTAAGAAAAAGCAATGTCATTATATATTGTCTTGTCACACAAAAATCATTATACATTTTAGGGAATCAGGGAGTAAATACCCTTCTAAGTTCTAACCTCCTCCTTAGTCCCTCATTTTTATTTTTGTTCTTTTTTTCTTTAGCCCTGTGTGATTACTCAGTGCAGGCAGACTACTGCATCCCCTCTAGGCCCCACCACACCCTTCCTTGGGCTGTTAACAAATTACATCACTATCATGGTTTTGCAATACAATCTCACGGTACTTGAATTTCAAATACAAAATAAGCATTCTAACAAGGTAATGATTAAGGAAGGAATGCAGTTGGGAATTATAAACACCTGGTAAGTTCTTCTGTAATTCCCACGCAGCTTTCTCAGCAAGGGTCTTGCTCTTTTCATAAGGAGTGCTTCCTTCCTCATTAGCCCAATCATTCTCAGTAAATATGGTTTGTTCATCAAGTCGTCCTCCTGTAAAATATCCACCAAGCTACCTAATGCATGAAGCTACAACTATTTAGAGTATTATAAATGATTTGGTTTGTATATCGTGTTTGGGTATCTGGACCATTATCTTGCCAAGATGTGCTGTGCCATTTCATTCTCTGTACTGTTTCTGTCTGATAAAGTTCCAACCACTTTCAGTTTTTAGTAAAGCAATCAGTTTAACAACAACAACAACAAATTTTGTTTAAGCTTAATAAGAAAATTACAATGCTTTGGCCTGCAAGTAGCTAGGGCTATTCGAGGCGGGCACAAAAGAGGAAAATTAAAAAAAGAGAAGAATTCTATAGAAAGTGAATATTTATATAATTATAATATATAGATGAACAATCCTAAAAGAAATCTAGTTTGCCGTGTGGCTTATAGACCGTATGAAACAGGATGCAGACTGTAGTATATACTGGAAGTACACACAGTTATAATTTTGAGAATTGTACTCTCACTAATATCAACAATTCTTATATAATCATCCTCATTTTTCAGAATTTCAAAGAGTTTTTCCTTTATTGTAGTTTTAAATTGATTTTTTTTTTAAAGTGTTCTGATAGGAAGTGGAATACTGTTACAGATCAAGGTGCCAGAAATAGAGAAGGCTCTCTTCATATTTTCAGTTCTAACTTGTTCAACAATAATTTTCATTGGTAATAGTTTACTAATCTTTTCACCAGATGTTAGAGTGGGGGGATGTATGGCCTTCATTTCAACACAATAACTTTGGAAACTACAAGACCTTATAGGTTTAATGTAATGTACGTAATATTGATAAAATGAAAAAAATATGAACTTAAATGAAATTCTAATGGTTCAATAAGTTTTGAATCAAAATTTCCTCCCTTAGCCTTTGTCAGAATTAAACATCACAAAAAATATAAAATTGTAAATCAATTGTCTAAGGCCTGGACTGGTGGATATAGGTGTGAAGATTCTGATTCTGACAGCCACAGGTCAGATGAAATTACTACATTGTAATTCACAGGGTCATCACTCGACTCTTACCATAAATTGCAACAACAGAGCTTGTCAAGACGACTCTTTTAACTCCACCCTGGGTATGAGCACATGCCTGAAGCACATTTTTAGTTCCTTCCACTGCAGGTCCTATAACCTCCATTTCATCTCTTGGATTCACTGCTGGGAAGGGTGATGCTACATGAATTACATAGGTGCAGTCTTTGACAGCCCTGAATAGAAATTGATTATCGTAAATCCTCTTTGAATTCCCCTTCTAATGATCCACCCCCCTCTAATACCCTGTCCCTCTTTAGAGGAAGAAATTTGTTAAGCCCCCCCTCTAATATGCCACCCCCTTCTTTAAAGGAAGTAATTTCTTAAGCCCCTCCCCTCTAGTAAGTAGTATTGGTGTCATAAAGCATTTCATTGATGTTGTTCATAATTTTGACTTTAGTTCGCTGTTTTATTGTGTTTCTGCTTTACTAATTTACAAGATGATTATAACTTATCATAAAACTCATCAGACTTTATGGAGGATTTTGACTCTGTCAATTTGGTGAATGAAAAAATCTGAAATGAGAGCAATTTTTGAATAAACATGGTACATTGTATTGTATTGCATCCTGGTAGTGGACATCAGGCTAAATCAATAAGCCCCCCCCTCTAATAGGCCACCCCCCCAAAGTACCTGAAATAACTAAGGCCCCCCGGGGGACTTATTAGATGATTTACGGTAAGAGAGTAAAAACCTGACCATACTCCCTCTGGGTCACCTATTTGTAACTTAACACCTAGTGCAGAGTAATAATAATGATTATTATTATCATCACTATGAAACGATCGTGCTGCAGGGCATTTGGCATGAATTGACTTAATTGATTAACTATCAAGTATTAAAATTGAGATGGAGTAATAATTGAAAAAATTTTGGTTCGAGCAGAACAAGGAGGGGCCCAGATGGAGTGGAGTATTTACCATGAGTTAGTGACAGCTGCGTCCAGGTTGAGTAAAGAAAACGCAATATTTTCGCGAACGCAATATTTTCGCGAACGAAATTGACCACAAAATTAAGTTTCCAAATTAAAACCTCTTACTGTTCATATAACTGAAATTGTTGCAAACCTACAAATAGAGATACCAATTCAAAGACTTAAAAAACTTGATCTTTCTTACTCCTGCCAGGAGTCTTTGTTCATCAGGTCTGCCTCGACCAGTTCCAGTTCATATATCGCATACTCAGGGCAGAGTCGTCTTAAAGGAGCCACTTTCTTCTCGTTTGCAAGACTGCGAACTGTTCCACGAACCTTGTGCTGTCCTGCTTCAAGCAACTGCCTCACAATATGGCTTGCAAGAAAACCCGAAGCACCTGTTACCAAAACGCGAGACATCTTAAACGTCCGATCTCGTACTTTCTCGATTGAAATGGGCGAGTTAAAGACGCTTGTACCGCTCCTCCGAGAAGAAAAATCGTTTTAGTTCCGTAGCCTAAGATGACATATCAGTTAAACTATTGATACACTCGGTCATCGTCACGTTCATATGCTCACCCGCGTACGATGAATGGTTATATGAATTTGCATCCAAACATAAACTTGACTCTGATTGGATAAGCCTTTGCAGAACTAGTTCGTCACTTAAAAAAAACACAGTGAGCATTTTAAATCATGCATTTTTATCCAAAGTAGAATTAAGCATACAAAACAAATACGGTACTTTCCAGTATACGAGGTCCGTCAGTGTTGCCCCTTAATTTGCAGCAAAATATAGAGTTGTTAATGCTACTGACAATATTTTATATGCAATTCTTCTACATGAGCTGATTCAATTTGATGGGGTGTGCCAAGCCTTTGGGGCCCACTTTCCCTGATTCGCCTCTGAACAGATATATTACCGTTCTTAGCAAACTGTTTAAATTTTGATAACAAAAAATTGGTGAAAAGCCTATAGTTAATTACATCCATCAAACACATACCTAAAAAAATAGAAGCAACCAGTCTAGCCAGCTCACAGTCCTCTTTGGGTGCTGATGACACACCCTCAGACTGCGTTGATCTCTCGGCTTTCCATCGTGAGTCACGTTCAACTTGATGTAACGTAAATAAGGTCCCAAATTATAATGCTTGAGGAATGGCGGTATTTTGTTTTAAGTTCTGCTGTATCACTGCTTTTTCCTTTCCGTTTTAATTTTTAGGTTTAGAATAATAAATGACACTCCAACTTAACAACAATGAAAACATTCCTTCTTTTCCTCTTGAGTAACCTTAATTTCCCTCTGTCCATTCCCCTCAATTCTGATAATTTTTGTCATTTCTTTATTAACAAACAGAGAAAATTTCCTCTATTGCCATTTCTCACTTAGATCAGCAGATAACAAATCCTCAAGAGAATACATAGTCTACATGGGATCTTTATAAATAAATCACCCAAAGATTAAAGCAGGCTAAATAACTTTTAATCAAACTGCATCTCTAAAAAAATCTACCAATAAATATATAAATAAAATAAATATTTAAATTTTTTCTCATAACTGAAGTGACAATGGAATGTCTCAAAAATGTTAGGAACATCATTATGAATTATGACATAACAAGCAAAGCAATGACTGCATGTCAAATTCTGATGTTTCATAAATTGTTCAAAACATGCTTAAATGAATCTTAGGTTATTTCAAAATTCTGAATTTGTCTCAAAGCTTTACAGACAGATTTATAAATTGTCTTTTAATTTTTCCATGCACCACACTGTGAAGCCAAGAAAACAGCAGCCCTTACAACCTCTATTTTAGAAGAGAAATCATGACCATTACTAAATTTTATCCCTGGATCAGTACCAACCACCATTTAAAAAATTGACCCTGGTGAACAGAACTCTGAAACAAGTTTTAAAATGGTCACAACTAAAGAGAAATACATATTTAGACCTATTAAAGGTGTGTTAGTCCTACAACCGTAAACCTCAAGCCTGGGTCACAATGTAAAGCTGCGAAAAAATAATTTATGCTGAAGT